GCGTGTAGTAGTGTCAGCCCATGTGATTTGCCTTGGGGTGGCCCCTGGGCTCACTTGGGGAAAGGTTAAGGACTCCAAATTGTCAAGATGAATATAAATGGGGCATCCACATTCCTGGGCCGCCATTGGGAGGCACAACCCAAAATATGGCTCCCTCAGTGTTCACAGATCCCCAGAGGTTCCCAAGGCTCCATGGACAGTGCTGTGAGGTATCTGGGCGGGGACACTGCTGATGTGCCCTATATTGTTTTACGATGATCTTATTGCTTTACGATAATGTTTAGACAGTTTCTCTAAAGTTCTAGGTCAATAATTTATTGCAAATAAGCATGTTAAATAAACATACCCACATATGAAGAAAGAAACAAACACATGGGATGGAATTCAAACTAAGGAAATCCCAGCATTGCCTACAGTAGGACTCCTCCTAGTCTTCTACGTTCTGGTCTGGAAAAGGTTGGAAATAAAAGGTAAAAGGCAATAGATGAGAAAGTGTGGTTAATATTAACTGCTCAAAGTCTTATGGTCCAAAGTCTTACGTGTCTGTTATCTGGATGAGATTACTGGAGGTGTCTATCAACACCTAATACTTAACAGAACTGCTTGGTACTTGTTTTTCAAAGATTGACAAGGCTGTATGGTCATCGTCCACAGGGGTTTAACACAGACAATACAGAAAAATGAAAAATCTCCTCTAGAATTTAGAACCACCTTTGTGTTGAAAGCTTTGTGTAGTTGCTAGTGACATGCATGAGTTCTCAGGAGTATGCTGCCCAGATCTGTCAGTACTCTGGTGCCTCGCCTCCATGGAGAGAGACAGGTGATATGGAAGAAGAGACCGAGGCTTTCAGAAAGAAGACATGATTCCGTGGCCTGGATTCTGGCATTAAGCAACTGTGTGATTCTGGGGGAGTTGGCCTTTCCATGCTTTAGTTTTCTCCTCTGAAAAGGGACAAAAACTTTAAGGTCCTTTCCAGCTAAGGATCTGAATAGACATTTTTCCAAAGAGGACAAACAGATGGCTGACAGGCACATTAAAAGATGCTCAATGATCACTAATCATCAGGGGCATGCAAATCAAAACCACAGTGAGATATCACCTCACACCTGTTAGAATGGCTAGCATCGAAAAGATGAAAAATAACAAGTGTGGGTGAGGATGTGGGGGAGGAAATAAAATCACTGTCTCAAAGAGACAGCTGTACCCTCACGCTCACTGCAGTATTATTTACAATAGCCGAGATATGGAAGTGTCCATCGATGGATGAAAGGATAAAGGAGACATGGTATGTATACATATATACATATACAATAGAATATTATTCAGCCATGAGAAAGAAGGAAATCCTGCCATTTGCAACCATCCAACATGGATGGACCTTGAGGACATTATGCTAAGCAAAATAAGTCAGACAGAGAAAGACAAACAACTGTACATTCTCACTTGTATGTGGAATCTAAAAAAAACCAAAATCATAGAAACAGTAGAATGATAGTTGCTGGGGGCTGGCGAGTGGGGGAAATGGTGAGATGTTGGTCCGAGGGTACAGATTTCCAGTTATGAGAAGAGATGAGTAAGTTCCAGGATCTAATGTACGAATACGGTGACTATAATTACTTGTATACTTGAAAGCTGTTGAGAATGTACATCTTCAATGTTATCACCACACACAAACACACAAGGGTAATTATGTAAGGTGATAGAGGTGTTAACTAACCTTATTGTGGTAATCATTTTGTAATATATATGTGTTTTGAATCAGAGAGAGAGAGACAGAGAGCATTTTGGAAAGTATGACAGTTAAAGGTGAAAAGGAGTCAAAGGTGGTATTAAAGAAAGTGCATACAACAATATTCTATTTGTTCCTACCAGAAAAGTAGTCTTTGTCCACTTTTTAAATGCAAAAGGTCTCCAGGAACATACTCCCTCTACAAAAGGCAGATAACTAAGCAAGAATATAAGTGGAATATCTAGAAACTATTAGTCTGAGTCCTCAGCTCATGCTTTGGCACAACCTGCTGTTTCAAGGTGAGGATCAGGGACCCTCTCTTTACTCCTGTTAGCAGTCACCGAGCGAGAACCACTATCAGCCTTCGGACAGAGTCCCAGACTCATAGCTACTGTGGTGGACACCTGGTCTCACTCTCTAGAGTATAGACAGGGTTGAACCCATCCCACCAAAATTCCAGTCAGTAAGATTGGGTTATTAATATGTAGCTTTTAAGGTTCCTCAACTGATTTTTGGTCAAAAGCCAGGCTTGGGAAACAATGCTGACAATGACAAGCAGCAGAGGGTGACCGTGAGCAAGGTCATGTCATTACCAGGTTTGCAGTCTAGAAAGCAGGCTCTGGAAGCCGTGTGGAGACAGTAACAGTGTGGGTAGAAGCAAGAATGACAATACCCACCCGCCTTGATATTAAGAACTCTAAACACATTAATTCATTAAGACCTTTTGATAATTTTGTAAGGTAGGTATTTACACCTCTGAGATACAAAGGAAATC